CATTTTGTCAATTAATAATTTGTGACTTACTGTGTCAAAAGCTTTTTGTAGATTTATAAATACACCCATGCATGATTTTTTATTATCTATTGCTTTGTATATTTCTGAAGTAAGTTGGGCTATAGCATCTTCCGTTCCCATTTTTTCCCTAAAACCAAACGGATTTTTTGAAAGTATATTTTTTTGTTCTAGGTAATCAGATAATCGAATTTTGACAATTTTTTCAAATATTTTAGAAAAACCGGATGTAAGTGAGATCAGACGATAATTATTAGTTTCCGTTGTTTCGCCTCTTTTAAATAACGGTTTGATATGGGCGATTTTAAATTGTTTAGGGACAAATCCATTTTGAAAACATAAATTAAATATATGGGTTAGAGGTTTAGTAATATATTCAATAGTTACTTTGAGCGTTTCATTTGTTATACCAGGACCAGGAGATTTATTGTTCTGTAAAGATAAGCAAGTGCTAATAATTTCTTTTTCAGTAGTGGATCTTAGAAAGAAAGACCTTTGAAAATTGGGAGAATGATAATAACAACTTATTTTATTAATTTTTGATGCCAATTTAACACCAGTGTTTGAAAAATATTCATTAAAAGAATACAGCTATACCATTTTCTACCACAATTTCATATAAGAATCATTATATCCATCAATTTTTGAATTTGAGTTCGACTTAACAAACGCCGCTTACTTTTATATAGGCAAATTCAAACTAAATACTAATGCGCGACGTAGAACTGTCAGTCACAGCCATTGGCCAGTAGCTATTACTTAATGGGGTCTATTCTGTAATTATAGTTATTATTTGGCAACGTTTTAACCACTTGCTATCTTACCACTTTCATAGCAACTGTATAACAACTTTGACACAAGTAGCTATTCTATTATTCACTATTGCTAAATTAGTCTATGCTTCATCATACAGTTATGCTACCAACCAAGTTGCTATGATCAAGGTCAGTTGTTGTATTACCACTTTGAGAAAATCAAAATTCTCTAAGTAAAATCTTTAACAACTAGTGGTTACAAAAGTGGATTCAGAGTTATTTGGAAACAACCAAATATTCTTGATGGTTAAGCGTAACAACTAGTTGCTAAGAAAGAAATATTATAGACCCTGGATAATAAATATTTTAATAGACCAAGAAGAACGATGAAAAAATTAGATGGGCTATATCCAGCTTCTCTACATTTAAATCGCAAGGACCTGACGGTATCTATCCAGCCCTACTTCAATGGGGTCTGGAAGAACTTACACCGCACCTGGTGGGTATATTCAGATCCTCGTTGGCTCTGAGGTATATCCCCAAAAAAAGGAGAGAGGTAAAAGTGGTATTTATACCTAAACCTGGAAGGATAGATTACATTGTCCCAATAATATACCGACCAATTAGTCTGACATAGTTTTCCATGAAGACATTGAAAAGGCTATGCGAAAGGTACATAAGGGATGCGGTGATTACAACAACACCACTACACCTAAATCAACATGCATACACCCCAGGCAGACCTACTGATTTAGCCCTTCATCTAGTTGCTGGCCGGATAGAAAGATCCCTGGACAATAAGGAGTTCACCTTGGGTGTTTTCGTAGACATAGAAGGTGCTTTTGATAAAACCACCTTCCCAAAGATAATACACTCACTAACCAACAGGAATGTTCCACAAATAGTTAATAGGTGGATACATAACATGCTCTCAAAGCGAGTAGTAAACATAAGTGTAGAAGATGTGAATATAAGAGGCTTGGTTGCGAGGGGATGTCCACAGGGAGGGGTGCTATCACCTCTACTGTGGAATATGGTCCTCGACACCCTCATCAGCCGCCTCAATAATGACAGTCACTACACAATAGCATTTGCAGATGACCTGGTCATTCTAAGAGGGAATTTTGAGAACATACTCTGCCAAAGAATGTAAGTAGCTCTAAAAATTACAGAACAATGGTGCAAGGACCACTCACTGTCTATCAATCCTAAGAAGACAGAAATGGTCCTCTTCACAAGGAAAAGGATGAAAATGGAATTAAAACCTCCAGAACTCCTAAACACAAAACTAAACTTTGCAACAGAGGTGAAGTACCTAGGTCTCATCTTTGACAGCAAGTTAACATGGAACTCGCATTTAGAAAACAGAGTTAAAAGAGCATACATTGCTTATGAACAATGCTGCCGAACCGTGGAGCGCACCTAATGTTTGTCCCTCAAAGTCGTCGCATGGACTTACACGGCTATAATAAGACCTATGCTAACATACGGTGCAGTTGTCTGGGTACCGAAAATTCAAAAATTAATAGCTATCCGTAAACTAGAACAAATTCAAAGAACAGCATGTCTCAACATAATATGAGCCATGAAAACAACAACGACCAGACCCATGGAAGTCATTCTTAGTCTCACTCCCCTTGATATTTACATCAACTAGGTTGCTCTGACGACAGTGACACGCCTCCTCACGGTTGGAGTAGAACCTGATGTAGGGATCTGGTGAGGCGACACGTCACTTTTGGCAGGAGGCGCTCGATACGCTTTCACTGCTTCAAGCGAACATGGACTCCATCTCACCGAGATATATCTTCCATAAGCCATATAAAGTTATAATTGAACAAATAGAAGATCCAGAAGTGGCAGGTATGATTCATATCTACACCGATAGTTCTAAAACAAAACAAGGCTGAGGATGTGAAATATACTCCAGATTCTTAAACCTAAACATAAAATGGGCTGTGAGCAATAGTGCCAGTGTAATTCAAACAGAGGTAACGGGGATTCTCTTAGCAGCAAAAGCAATAACTAGAAATATTATCACAGGAAATAACATTCTCATCTATACAGATAGCAGACAAGTACTTCTCTCCCTGAACAGACCACGAATTTATTCAGGGTTGGTACTAGAATGCCATGAAGCTTTGGCCGAAGTATCCATGTGGTCACCTTAAGATGGATCAAAGGCCACGCCACATCGAAAGGTAACCGTCTTGCTGATTCACTAGCTAAGAAAGCAGCCAACCAAATACATTTTAGACCTGGCCCTCCTATTGGCCTGACAAAATGGGTAGTGACAGACCTAATTAAAGAACATTCCCTTGTGAAATTCAAGGAAAGATGGGATGAAACAGAGAGCTCTTAAGTTATCCTGACAACACTGCAGCAAACAAATACTTGACTATGACTAGACATAATCTGGGCCTAGTCACAGGCATTCTGACTGGTCACTGCCAAGTACGGAAGCATCTCCATATCATGAGGCTGTCAGAATCCGCACTCTGCAGGAGGGTGCGAACAAGAAGATGAGACCATCGAGCATATCCTTTACGATTGCTCAACGCTCTCATTTATTAGATTTTTGTTTGGCGAGTATCGGCTAACACCGGCCGATACAAGAGAAGCAGCTCTTGGCGATGTTGTCAACTGTATTAAATCTGTAGGCTGGCTCACGAGCTAAGAGGTGCTTATCACCTTAGGAGGATGCACAATGGGCTTAATGAAGCCTAAGTGCCGTAGGGGTAACTCATCCTCTACACGTTACAGATACAGAACAGACCAAGAAATTAATGGAAGGTATATTTACTGATACAATAATATATATCAGAACTAAATAGATATATTATTTGCCCTAACAATGAAGTAAGATTTTAGCAAAGGCTATATTATTTCTTGCGATCTGTATATGTAACTAGGAGTGACCCTCCATGTCACTTAGGCCTCAATAGTCCCATTGTGCATTCTTCAGGGAAATTTAAGGCCTGCCACTCAGCTCTTCAAAACGTCTACTGGTTGATATATATTCACTGAGAGCTGTCTATAGGAACCACCTCTTAGATCATCAAAAGGTCTGCATAAAATTGCACATTAAATTTTCCTGCTTGATAAAAGTTTACAACTACGACATAGACGACTTTTTTTTTAATTTCAAATCAATCCACCAACAAAATATAAAAGTCCTAAATGATAAATATATTTCACACATCCATGACTGGGAAATATAAACCTCATTGGTCCCGTCCCTCCTGACTTAAAGGTTAAGTTGTTAAAAGCCTGATTTACACCACACATACAACTTTATGGCAACCGTGAATACTAGAATAGCTACTTTTGTCAAAATTGTTATACGGTTGCTATAAAAATAATAAAACTTATAAGTGTGGTGTAGATCAGGCTTTTGACAACTTAACCTTCGAGTCGGAAGTGCCGGGAGTTTAAGTAAAGTGTAATTTTAGCATTTGGAAATGATTACATTTTGTTGGTGGACTGGCTTGAAATTAAAAAAACTTGTAATAGAGCAAAATTTAAAATGCAATTTTATCTGAAGCAGATCTGCATGCCTTTTGACGATCTGAGAGGTAGTCATCCCTATAGACGTCTCACCTGAATTACAGCATCTGAAGGATTCACAATGGGGCTATTGAGATCTAAGTAATGCAAGGGGAACACACCTTACAGATACAGTTTACAAGCAATAAATAGTAGGCTTTGCTGAAATCTTACTTTATTCCGAAAACAAATCATTAGAAAGAAATATGATAAGTTCCGATTATCTTATAAATAAACATAGCTCCTATTAATTTCTTTATACGAGTATATTTAAATATTTATTATCCAAAGGTCCATATTTCTTTCTCAGCAACTAGTTGTTATGAATATTTGATTGCTTCTAAGTCACTGGAAATCTACTTTTATAACCACAGATTTTACTTTAGAGAATTCTGATAACATAACGACTGACCTTGGTCTAAGCCACTTGCTAGCTAGCAACTGCATGATACAGAATAGACTACAATGAACATTTTGTCTCTAGAGTTTCAAGTGTTTCAGAATTTTTTTTTAATCTTAGAGCGCGAATATGTTCTTTCTGTTATTAAAAGTGGCTTCGGAAGAACTACATTCAGTAGTGGCCGTGGAGAAAATATGTTATGACTGATAGAATCACTGCATCCGTTTAGGAATATTGCTAAAAAATCATCGTGATAAGAACCTCGGTACAATTACCTACTAGCGACATTCCAGAATTCCCCTTCTTACTTACCTTGACACATGGCTAGACGCCGTTCCCATGGAGATCCGGAGTTAATAAAAACGCTGACGTCGCGACGCTCTGTTCATTCAGTAATTTTCGATACTTACGCTACATCCTTTACTGTTTCACAAAGTTTTTAAAATCTAACCGGCAGTGCTACAGGTTGGTGCTTCAATCGCGCTTTTGAAAGTGGGTGAAAAAAAACTGTTTGGAGTTTTTAACTTTTAAGAACAATATTTGAAGTTTATTTTATTACTGTTCAAGATTTTTGGTGCTATCCCAGCAAGTGTGATAACCCACATTATTGAAGTAAGTTTTTTTTTAAATATCGATAATTAAATACAGAGTATCTACTGCACTTTACATTTTTTCAAGAATGTTGATTATAAGTGCAACTTTATTTTGAAATTCACAATGAGCTTATTAAATATAAAATCGGTACCTATATAGGTTTTTTTTAGTTTAACATCTATTGTCAACTATTTAAAATCTGGTAAGAACACCTAATTAAATGTTCATGAACCATACAGTTTTCCCTATTTTTAAATGGTATCTATCTATATCTATGTAGACATTATTATTTATAAAATATCCCAAAAACCAAATATATTTTGTTAAATTTATTATGAATTATTTATTATTTACCTAGTCATAAAACAAAACCAGAGTAACATTACCTTACTTTAAATATTACCGTGAATATAAATGAAATATATCAATCGTCTTGATTGTAATTTAGGATAGGAAAACTTATGGAACAACCTATATACAAAGAGTAATATTTATAAACATAACTGCTTATCATGTACTAACAATGCTTTACCCCAGAGAGCTCTCGTTCGTTAATTGATCAATTTTGATACCGAGATACACAGGGGGTTAAAAGTTTGAATTCAAAATTAAAAATTTGCCATTAATCAAAAACGCTTCTAAATATATTTTTTTAAATTTGGTTAATAATATCTTTAAGAAATTAATATTTTGGCATGAGCTTAATTTCGAAAAAATGTATCCAGTGGCGGCGCGTTATTAGGAAATAAATTCTTTTAGTTTTTTATTTCTTTCATTTTTAGTTAAAAACATAATTACCTTTTATAGAGCTAAAATGAGATATGTTGTAGAAATTTGCTTCCTTAAGTACTTAGTTAATTTTTAACTAATCAATATTTGTATATAAATTCTAATCTACTAGAAAATGTATTAAATTTTTATTATTTCGTGTATTTCACAATATCTTAGTAAAACAATTTTAAAAAAATTAAAGACGTTTTTGATTTTTAGCAAATTTTGAATTTTGATTTTATACTTTTAACAGCCTGTATTTTGTTAAATAAGCCCTTAACGGGTTCATGCCACTATATTAAAATTCATCAATTACCGAGAGCTCTCTAGGCTAGAGCGTTATCGATCAAATATACTGGGTGTCCTATTAGTGCGTAATTGTTAAATATTTCAATTTGTGTTATAGACACGCAAACAAATTTTGACTAAAAGTTATATGGATTTAAAAAAATACGTATTTTAAAAATATTATGGATATACAGGGTATTTCATTTTTGCCTAGCAAATTAAATGTATATTTTTTAAATTGTTTTTCAATTTTCGAATGGTTAGGTAATACTGTATTCAACCCAAGCATTTTTTCCAAGCAATTAATTTTCTTATAAAATTAGAAAATGATACAGACCCCAAAATAAATAATCATAATTTAGGTAGTTTTGCAATAATTTAAAAATTGTTTAAAATACAGACTTATAGTAAGGTAACGAATAGTTGTGATAGAACTCGAATATTTTATACAGAGTATTTTGAAACATGTCTTAAATATGCTAATTTTAAGTTAAATCAACTCAAATTTTTTAAATGCAACATCCTGTACATTATTTTAACATAAAATTTCTTATAAATTTACATTTCCAACGATAACAATATGTTAGTCTATACCACATATACAGGGTGTACCATCAGTGCGTAATTGATCAATAGCTGTTTTATTATTGGAAATACGAAAAAAAGAATGATATAAAAGTTATATGACCATATCTAACAATTATTATTAAATATATAGGGTGGTCCATAAACGAGGGGCTGACCAAACCTATATATTTTTAAAGCAAAATGCCCTGCAGCAGGTGGTTATACATATTTGATTGTTTTCACATTGTGAAACAATTTTAATAGACTTCATTAATTTGCTATATTGTATAAAGGATGTGCCAAAATGCGAGTTTACGATTTTCTCAATTTTTTAACTGGAATATCCTGTATGTTATAGCACCAATTAATTAATACTGGGTATTTTATTTAAACAATTGAGAAAATCTTAATCTCGCGTTTTGACACACCCTATATACAACATAGAAAATGAATGAAGTCAATTAAAATTGTTTGCAGGGTGTTTTGATTTAAAAAGGTATAGGTTTGGTCAGCACCTCGACAATTATACACTGATGGGACACCCTGTGTATGTGTTATTGGCTAACATGTTGGTATCGTTGGATTGGCACATATATAAGGAATTTTATGCTTAAATAATATACAGTGTGTTGAATTTGAAAAATTAAGTAAATTGAACTTAAAATTAGCCATATTTTAGACGTGTTTCAAAACACTCTATATAAAATAAACCAGTTCCATGACCACTATTCGTTAGTTTAATATCTTATAAGTCTGTATAATAAACAATTTTGAAATCAATGTAAATCTACCTAAATTATGATAATTTAATGTGGATCCTCCATTATTCTCTAAAATTCATAAAAAATTAATTACTTGGCAATCCTGTAATATTTTTTTTTTAATTCTAGGATTAAATATAAATATAATATAAAAATAAAATAAAACAGGGTGTTTTATTTAAAAATATATCTTTTTTAATTACCAGGCAAAAACGCAACACCCTGTATATTCAAAAATATTTTTAAAATATGTGTTTTTGAAATCCATGTAACTTATATTTGCGTGTCTATAACACAAATTGAAATATCGAGTAGTTACGGACTAATAGGACACCCTGTATTAAGAATTTTTTATAAGCCAATCTATTAATTATTTATGACAATTATTATTAATAAATTCGTATTTACTATCTTCCAAATTCATTCTAATAAAAATTTCAATACCATTTTATTTTAAATTTATGCATATTTTTTTCCAATACAATTATTTACAATGAATTTATGGGATTATTTATATTCAAGTTGCAAATAATTATACAATAAAATTATTCAATTCAAAAATGTAAAGCTTTGTTCGCGGTAAGAATCCTGAACCGAATTATTACTAACAGTAACGATTTCGCAGGCGCAGTAGTTAAAAAGCGTTCGCGGAGCAAAAAGCACTAAACTATATTGGTTCTATCCTGCGTTCGCGGTAAAATAATTATTGGTTTCGAACCGCTTGTCTATACCTGAAACACCGAGATATAATAGGGCCTGTGCTTGCGGTAAAAATTCAGAATTGATAATGATCCGGGCATGCGCTCAAAGTATGAATTAGTAATTCTGAATCAGTTCAGGATTGTTACCGCGAACGAAGCTTATATATTATTTAAAACTTAGGTATATTTTTAAGATTGATGTTATAATTTTTTATCATTTAATTATAACAGAATAGCATATGTTACTAGGAGCCATTAGGCTGCAGTTAGGGTTGCCCACTCTTTCGGAATTCTCCCGGAAAAAGACAATTAATTTTCAAAATCTCCCGGTTTCCAAACAAAAGCTAAAACCTCCCAGATCTTTTTACTTTAAATAAAGAAATTGACTGGGTTGGATTAAAAGATCTGAGTTCTTCTCTCAACATGCCTATAAATAAGGATGGACGATGACACCTTTGTACTGTGAGAAGTACGTGAAATTATTGTTAAGCAAAACAACGAGCATAGACATGCGTTTGGATAATTTCTTTGAACAATGTGTGGATGAATCAGACAAAGAAAGAAACTTATTTTATTCTCTCTACCGATTCCTAGCTCAAACATTTAACTTCAGTCAAAAAGTCATATGCGCCTTAATTTAAATCAGCTCATATCTGAAACTAGAATGAATATATAGTGCTGGACAATAGGCTTTGTACCCTTCTAGCAACTCCCGATGCCAAAAAAAATCGCTTGGAATATGAAACCTACCGTATCTATCATAGAAGAACGGAGATGAGAAGAATAATAACTTTTAGTTGATTTAAAATATTAGAACGTCTATTAAAATATTTTTTCTACGAATCACTATCCAAAGTAGGCTTTTGCGCTTCGAAATTCAACCGCAAAGTTGACGTTTTCCGCGAACTGACATTAAGTGACAGTTTTGTCGCTTGCCTAATTTAAATTAGATAAATTTAATATTTCTTTTTAATAAATTATTTTGAAGTTATCTGTACCTAGTTTGATGTTTTTTTCTTTAATTATCCAAGTTAACAATGACTTTGAATGTCAACTCCTTTTTCATGAATAACGTAGATATAGGCAACACATTATACTCTACTTTATTAGGCATTCCAACCACCTGTCAAAATGCTGACAAGTGAGAACTCACATTTAGATATGGCAACCCAGTGAGCTTGTTGTCATTGACAGGGTCAATGATACATATACAGTTATATATATTGCTCAAAGAGGGTCGTTTACGAGCGGCCATATTGCCTCGCAAGTGGTCATTAATCAGAATCTATTTGGCAAAAATGTGTTTACAAATCAATACTTAGCCATTGAATATAGTAAAAAAATAATTACCTACATTTTTACTTCAAAGCATAAGGTTATGTTTATTTTGAAAAATATAGATGATCAATCTATGTAACCATATAGTTCATTGACCTTGTCATATCATCAAGCCTACAGGGTTGCCATAATTTGGCCATATCATAACCTGTCAAAACTCACTCGTAGCCATTTTGTTCGGAATGCCTAATTACAAATGTTAAGTTTTCGAATCCATTTTTTCGGATCATGAATACGAATCACTGTCAGTGTCATACCATGGTATTATGTATGCTTCCGAATCTAATATCAATATCAACTATCTGTCTATTAGGGACTATGATGACTTGCATACAAATGGTTGATACAAGAAGATGTTGAAAAGAATAAACTTTTTTTTTATAGCTTCGAACGAAGCCAGCAAAGCACCTCTGTTCCAACAAAGCACTCTGTATTTTTTAAAAAACACTATTTTTTCGAAAAGTTTGATAATATTTTAAGAACATAAAAATAGCTTAAACATGTGACATAAGTAGTGTTTCCAAAAAAAAAAAAAAAAAATAAACCGTGGTGCTCTGCTAACTTTGTTCCAGCAAAGTACCCTGTATTATTT